TTAAGGAAAATTGAGGTCAAATTGATGAACATTTGGATTGTGGCCAAATTGATGGACATTTGAGGTGAATTTGAGGAAATTGGGTCTTTAAGGGCAATTTGGGGCTTTTGGTCACAATAGGCCAAATTGGTCAAATTGGGCTAAGGGCAATTTGGGGCTTTTGGTCAAAATAGGCCAAATTGGTCAAATTGGGTACAATGGGAGCGTCCAAATTGGATTTGAGGACATTTGCGAAGATATTGGAGGTTTTTGGAAAGTTTGAGGTACCGAGAGCAGGGGTATTTTGTTAATTTTGGCAATTTTGGGTGGTTTTGGGCAATTTGAGTATTTTAAACTGATTTGAAATTACTTTTGAACAAATTTATGTATTTTGGGTGAAATTGGAATTTTTGGCCAAATTTAGGGTTTGGGGGTGGTTAGGTAATTTGGGTAAATTTGGTGGGGGGGGGGGTAAAAGACCAAGGAGTGATGCAAAAGACCAAGTTGGATATTTTGGTAAAATTAGGGTGCCAACCACTCTATGTGAGCCATGGACAAATAAAATCCCCATTTTGGTCCTCTATGTGCTGATCCTAGCTAAACCCCCAGCCTAGGGCTAGTGGGTCTAGGGGACCATCTACATGAGTCTCCCAAAAGATCAAGGGATCAAAGTCAACAAAGTTTGGGTTTTGGGTTATGAGTGAAAGTGAGTGAAAGTGAGTGCAAGCGAATGAACCAGCTCCAGGCCAACACCTAGGGTCAACCATAAGGTCAAGTAGTCCTACGAAAATGCCCCTTGAGATTTTTTATACTGACCCAACCTACTAAGTGCTAGAGGTTAGGACAAATATATAAAATTTCAAGTTGACTTCAAGTTGAGAAATGAGAAAAGAAGAGTTTAGAATTTCTAATGGTGGGGGTTCCTTTTCTAGTCCTCCAGAAATAGTCAACAGGAAAGTCCTATCTGCTAGACCCTAGGCTACTAAAGAGGAGAGACTAGACCTCAACCAAAAGTGAGGTCAACAGTAATAAAGGGCTCTAATAGAGTCCTAAGTATCGATCCCACAAGGAGCTGTAAATTCTTATGGTAATAACATAAAATACAATAGTCAAACTATAAAGACTTACGTAAGAAAAACAGGTCGAAAGTAAGTTTAATTTATGCTAATGGAAATGTAATTAAAAGAACTAAGTTAACTAAACTATTTTCTAAACTTCAAAGTTAAATTTACTAAGACTAAACAAAGTTTTATGAGGAAAAGTTCAAATTTAAGAAAGCATCCTTCCCCTTTATAATGAGTTTATGGTATTTAAAATAATTAAAATTATTTAAAATTATATAAAATTGTATTGTGCCAAATATGAGCAATCTTATTCTTTACCCTCTGGAGAGTGCATAAAAAATATTTGTTAATCCAGAGTTTGGTCCCTAAATCTGTGCTTAGGCTAGGAGGATACTGGCTCTCATTCTAGAGTTCCCACTTAACCTTGCCTAAGGGCTAACATCTCGCTTTAGTTTCCAAACATCTCGCTTTAGTTTCCAAACAACTCCAAACAACTAGACCAAATTGAGGATTTTATTCTGTCACCCTAAAATCTTCAATTCTACGCCCATCAAAGTATATTTCCCTATTTATTTGCATTCAACCCCATCAGCTACATTCTCATCCATGAAATTGAATGTGATTATTATTTTGTTATAGAAAGCACAACCCTTTCAAATCTTATATTTCTTAACAACTTTTAACATTTCAATTGGTCAGATCAAAAAGTAAATGAAGATCAGAGTTTGAATCATCATAGTTTATTGACATTTAAAACATTACACAACAATACTAATTCTTCACAAAACCATATCTCATTGTAGGGAGAATGACAAAGAAGACTACTCAGAATTCATGAGGAAGATACAATAAAACATAGATTTTATATATATAAATAAGTTTACAAAATAAGAAAGAAAAAAATACAACTTATCTCTGACTTCTCAAGCAAATTCCTTGAAGTTCCTTTGAAACACTTTCTCTCTTTACAATCAACACTCTCTTTACAATCAACTTTACAATCAACACTGAATTCTCTCTTAGAAGTATAATGAAGAAGAAACCTCTCACATTTCCTCTCCTCTTACAACTCTAAAAGAAAATCCTCTCCACACACAATACTTAACCCTCGACTCTCCACTCACTCTACTCGACTAGACTAGCCTCCTCAAAGACTCCGCAAGACTCCATAAGATTCCTTTTTAGAGTCGCTCCAGCCCCTCTCCTCTAAAGAAATTCAATAATCTCTCCTTTTTCCCAAGAGACACGCCTCTCACACCAAGAGGAAAATTTCTTCGTCCAAGAGACATATCTCTTCATTCAAGAGCCTTCTCCAAGTGGTAGTGCATTGAACCACTCCATGGGGCATTTAAATTACTTAGAGTTATCTAGAACATCTAAAAAAAGTCAACTGCCAAAAATTCATCCATACCCGTCTCTTGCGCCTTTGGTACTTGTTTAATGGAGTTCAGCACTCCTCACTGGATTCTAGCGCCTCGGACACCCTTTCTCTGTAATCCGGCGCCTCTGTCGCTAGTGTATTTTGAAAAATCAGCATTTTGACCCTGAATTTCTTCTTTTTTTGCGTCATTTTTGCTCCAAACACCTAGAATCAATATACCTGCAACAAAACATGAAAATATATTTCTACATGAAAATATATACCTGCAACAAAACATGAAAATATATTTCTTTAAAGTGCAATATCACTAAATTTAAGCATAAAATGTATACATAAAATTGCACATTTTTTTGTGTATAACTAAGCGAAAAATCTTTTAAAAATTTGATTGATTTTTTTTATTGTAGGGAGATATCTTATCATGTCTTATTGGTGGAGAATCTTCAACCCATGGAAATTGAAGTGCCCATGTTTCTTGTGCGATAGCCATGGCTCATCTATTTTTGTCACCATTGTTATATTATTTATGTATCTTCCATCAAATAGAAAATCACTTGTTCTCTTTTATGTTAATTTTCATAATTTTAATAGATTTGTCCTGCTTATCATATATTGTGCAAACATCATCCTCAAAATTCAATGAATGACTTTTCTCAATCATTTGACCCACGCTGAGTTGATTTTAATCAATGTTTGCGACTAAGAGTGTATCATTAATGTATCTCTTCTCTTTTCTTGTGCTAATTGATGTGGTGCATCTTCATGTTGCTTCTAAGAAATCACAATTTTCTATTTTAAATTTATTCTTCATTTTTCAAGACTACATAATATTTCTTCATTTTTCAAGGCTACATAATATTTCTTCATTTTTTGTCATGTGATTACTACAATCACTATTTAGATATCATGTATTTTTTTTTCTCTTCTAGTGCAACTTAACAAGCATAGAGGAGATTTTTATCTTCACTTTTCTCTTCTAAGAAATTAGCATCTTGATTTTTCTTTAATTTACTAACATTTTATGTGTGCCCAATTTCTTACAATTTTGACAATGTGGTTTTCCTTTAAACCAACAATCTTTCTCCAAAAGACATTTTCTTTTACAAATGTCACATAGAGGTTATTTATCCCTTTTTTTATTATTTTTAATTTTAAAATTTTCTCGTGACATTCTCCAGCATTCTTTAGGTTTATGAGATTGCAAATATCTTTTAGATCAAAAGATATTTTCTGTAGTATTCTCACTTTGCACATTCAATCTTTTTTCATATGCTTCAAGAAAGCCTATTAATTCCGTTGATGATGAAGTTTGTAGATCTCTTGATTCTTTAATTGCCTAAGTTATTGTACATATTTTGTTGTACAAGAAATTAATATCATTTCTACTATTTTCCTGTCAAAAATGGTTGGTCCATAAACTCTTATTTTATTAACTATTTCCTTTATCTTGAGATAATAATCTTTTCCAACACTTTATCTTTTATGTTAGGATTATCAAAATATAGTTTATGATTTCATAATTTAATGGAGCGTTGCTTCTTAATTCCTTGAAAGTCCTCCAATAATGTGTCTCATGTGTGTTTTACACTTGTTGCGCCCATGATTCAATGACATATATCACCTGTCATTGCTTGTTGTAAAATAAATAATGCTCGACTCATTTTGTTCATTCTCTTTAAATGCATTCTTTTGATTTGCTAAAAGATCGAAGTATCTTTTGTAATAATGTGTCATTTTTCAACGATCTTCCACAAATTTTGGAAGCAAAAATAGGTCTCCATTTTGATGAACCCAAAGTCATAATTTTCTCTATTGAAGATTAAAATCAGGACAATTGAGAGTTTGTACTAGACCATTGTAGACATATAAAATTTTTACAATGGCCAACAAAAAATCAAACGAAACTCTGATACTAATTGTTGGAAACTTTTGAAGAGAACAGAGAGAATTTTACTACTAAATGAAGTAGTTCTTGGCTTGCAAGATATTATCGTGGTTATGCCTATTTATAAGCATGGGTGACTAAATCTAGAAACTTCTAAACTCTTACTTTTTTCTCTAGAAAACACATACTCTAAATTTTCCCTAATAGAATATTCTAGAAATCCCATTTAATACAAGTATCCTAGAATCTTCTACTTTAAGACTAGATGGAACTTTCTAGCATATCGGAAAAATAAGCATCAATTTAATAGATATCCTGAGACAAACAAGAGATCAAAAAATAAAAGTGCATGGTGTGGATGAAAAACATAGTAAAAAATCTGAACATCTTGGCTCTCGTAGTATTAAACAACTACACATGTTTTTTACCTCTATTGTTCTTTTTAAGTGGTATCTTATAATCAATTAACATTTTTTTTTCAGATTTAAAAGATTACATTAAAATTTAAAGTTTAAAATTTAACCTTTTTTTAATTAAAAAAACATTAATTGGATAATTTTTCTTTTTTTTCTTTCAAGAGAACTTTTAATCAAACTGACTAAAAACTGACAAATAAAACAAAATTCATACAATTCTGATAAAAAGAAACTGAAAAAATATAAACCACACTAGCTTCTTTTTATGCCATCATTCAAAATAATAAAAATCAATCTCCAAAATGTTCTCAATTGCTCATTCCACCTCTCTTCACAACTGAACCATCCATGCTGCACCAGCTTCTTTTTATGCTATCATAATACTCAGCATCTACTAACCTCTACTGCAACGTTATGTCAAAACAATAAGGTCCATTTTCTCACTATCTCTATCTACACTGCTTCATCTTAAATTCATATTCAGACCGAACTATCCTATCCATGAGTTTTGCCAGCCTTTCAGAACCAGGCCCTGGCTCAAGCCTCCAGTCTTCCCCGACATCCGAGCACGGTGGGCTGCCGGAGCACCAACCTCCAGGAGTCACCCAATCCTTGCGCCTTCTGAGTTGCTCGAGATCAATCTTGTCCAGCACAGGATCGTCTTTCCTGAACTTTCTGGCAAAGGGAGCGTTGCTGCCAATCATTCTCGCAGCGTCGTTGAGGCTGAGGCTATGAGGGTGCTGCTTGGGAGGAGAGTCCCAGGAAATGTAGTGCAGGTCGTGGTTGACGACTGTTGTATTGAACTCTGGCGCATTGCAGATAACTGTATGGAAGTAGCCTTCTGGTGATGAGATAAAGTTGGTGTAGTACATTAAGAGTGTTCTGGGCAGGTTGTCCCAACCCCAGATGCAGAATTCCACGAAGTCTCGTGATAGTGTCATCCATGCAGATCCTGAGAATTACGTACATGCAGGTTATGAATTTTGGTCATATAAAATTAAGCACGAAAAATGGGTATTTTTCTTTTATAAAGTTGATAATATAGTGTCACTTTTGATATGATGTTAAGAACTCGAGGGTTAAATATGTAAGTCAATTCGGTTGTCTCATATGTAAATACATAAAAATTATGCAAGTATGCGTGTGAAAAAAATTTTGCCTGCACGTCCCTTCAATCTCTCATGGGAGGTCATGTCACCCCTCATGTGAATTTGGGGTGACATAGCCTCCCATGATACAATGTGCATACGTGTGCACACCTATTTGAGCTGGCATGACCTCCCATGTGATAATGTAAAGACGTACGGACACCACACGTAATATTCTCTCATGTGTGAAAATGCCACAATTTCTTATCATGATTTCTTACATAAAAATACTTAAAGAACTAAGAGAAAGAAATTCTAATTTTAAGCGTTATTAGTTATAATAGAATCGGACCAATACAAATCAAAACTGCCAATTATAATTCATTTTCATTTCAAAAATTCAACCCTAAAATGGAGGCAGTCATTGCCGTGCACTAGTATTTCCATGTCTTCTCTTATTTTTTTCAGCGACGCAAGAAAATTGAAAAGAAGATAAAATAGTCCAGCCTATGTTTCAGCAATATTAAGTTAAAGAATCAATATAAGCTATCAAAATCAATATTAATTACTTAATTAATTAACCTGTGAACAGCTTAAAAGCATTTGGCAGTTCTCTTCTTCGCATCGCCCAAAACACATCAGACTTGGTTGTTCTGTAAAGCCCGGGATCTACTATCAATGGCCTTGCCCTGTGTTCCCTGAAAACAAATTTCAAAAAATACAGCTAATTTTAACCAAAGTAAAATCAGAAAAAAAAAATTATAAAAATTAATTCGAGCATCTTACTCCTTCCATCTCAAATTACTTGTATGATCGATAAAATTCAGGTTTCTTGGCAACTTCGACAAAGTGAAGAGCAGATCTAAAAACAAAATCGTAAATTTCATAGCTTTCATTGAATTTAATGTGTATTTTTCTGTGTTATCATGAACTAACCGTCCTGCGTTACTAGAGGATAATCTGAAGCACTGAGATTGATGAACCAGTCCCAGTCCTTGCTTTTCTTCAGCAGAACGGCACAGGCGTGAAGTGTAGTTGCCACCATTGTTGGACCTCTGTAGGACACCATATTCGCCTTCTTGATCACATGAACATTTCCCACCTTAGCAAAGAGGGAATGGTTCGCTGTCCGGGTGATGAGCTCCTCCCTATCATGCTTTGGCGACTCGAGGTCAAGATGGAGAACATAGACGTTCCGAGGGTGGTAGAGAGCGAGGAGGGTTCGCCAAAGTCTGTTTATATCGCCTTTCGATCCAGAGATAAGATAGGCAAGGCGTGGGATATCTTCCAGAGGAGTTGTGTCGACTGCAATGGCGGAGTGATAGGATTGATGGAGTTGGAAGGAGAAGAGGGTAGAGAGAGAGGTGAGGAGGCCCATGTTGAAAGATGTGAGGAGGAGGAAAGTAAGGAGGAGGGAGGTCAGGAAGAGAGGGAGACTCCATCTTTTCTCCACTGGGGTAAGAGGGAGACAGATTCTTCCTTTCATGAATAGAATTTCTCCTGGGCTCTCTGTTTCGAAATTGTTGGGGTTCATCGCTGACTGATTTTGTTTCTGTTTGGGAAATAAAGATGGGATTTTGAGGTTTGGGTAATGGAGGGGTTATAAGAATGTTGGAACATTCGGTGTTTGGAAGAAGGAAAACGGTGGAGCAATAAGTAGGAGACAAAAGAATTAAGAAATGGATTAAAACGGGGGGCATGGTTCTAGCTTCGCGACATTACTGCATGTTAGTGTTCCAATTGAAACTGGAGAAGAAAGCTGCTTGTCTAAATCACTGTGTGGGAATGAGAGAAAATGGAAAATTGAGGTAATAATTGCTCAGTTCAGCTGACAATAATGGACAGAAAACTTCTGGAAACGGATGGTTTTAAGGACAAGAGAGAAGAAGGAGAAAGGATGGAGAAATCACATTGCAACGATTGAGTCAGTAAAGAATATTCGGGTCTCGGAAAGGAACCGTTATTAGCTGGGGACGCAGCACCTACGCCAATGTTGTGATTCACTGGAGGTTTTTTTATTTTATTTTTTGGGCATTCACATACAACCTATAATTCCTATGCGATTACATATCTAAAACCTGGACTTTATGTTTTACGTTTATGCCACTTATATTTTCCATATCACATAAAAAATATCAACATCTTAACTTTTTAAAAGCTTTTTCATGAGTTTAGGTGTTAGATATGTAAATACATAGAAATTAACTGCAGTTATGTAAATCTTCTTTTTTAATGTGGACTTTATTTGTTTTTTATTTTCTTAAAGAAAATTCTGGAGTCAATTTTCATTATTTTTTTTAAATAACGAAAATAATCTTAATCAATGTTTTCACATGTTCTAAAAATATGTTGGTAATATTAACAGAAATTTTTTTATAATAATTAAAGTTTAATTAGTTTTATAGATTAAGATAATTATAATTGAAGGCAAATAACTATAATGATTAAATTCGAATTAACTATTTAGTTAAAATAATTATAATGGATTTTACAACTAACACTTTACATTATTTTATTACATGTCACACATTCTAGAAAAATTATTGCATACATACACCGCGTGCAGAGATGCATGCGATGTTCGATCCTGACCGTAGATCGCGGTGATCTACGGTCAGGATGCAATCAAAATTTTTTTGAAAAAAAAAATTTTTAAAAGCGGGACCCACCGAAATACATCCTGACCGTAGATCACCGTGATCTACGGTCAGGATCAGACACTGCATACATCTCTGCATGCGGTGTATGTATGCAATAATTTTTCCATATTCACAGTGTTTTGTTTGCTTATTTATCACTTTGTTTATTTGAAACGTGAATCATCTAAGAATAAAAAATTTCCGTTTGGTGGGTACAACATCATGAATATCATATTGAAAGATGAAAATACTCCACAACGGTACATCTAATCATAAAATAATAATTTTAGGACTCGGGGCCTACATATCTAAATATTTGAACTTTTGAACCAATGTATTTATCAGTGCCACAATCAAACCATTGAGAGTTTGATAAATATGAAAAATATTGGTCGTTGTTTTATCATAAATTTTCATATTTAAGTGAGAATTTGAAAATTGAATGAATGAGGGTGCTAGATTTGTAAATAACAATGTCTCACAATGTCTTGGATGCTTTCATAATATATATTTTGATGTGGTGCAAAGAATAAAAAAATGGGGCATTTACATATATACCTTCCATTTCCTATGTATTTCTAATACCTAAAATTTAATTTTAATATTTATAACACAAATCTTTCATATAAAATCAGAAATACCATTATTATTACTTTAGAAAAGTGAAAACACATTTTATTGCATAGCAGGGTGAATTATCTGTAAAAATTGAAGTTTATTGTGTTAGATATGTAAATACATAAAGAATTGAGT